AAAAAAAAAAAAAAAAAAAAAAAAAAAAAAAAAGAAGGAAAAAAACCTCGAACTTAATACTAAGTATACTACAGAATGACCTTCAAGGTAGCTCACTGAGTAGGGTGGCTCGACCAGTCACCTGTCCCAGAGAGCCGCCCCTGGATCTGCCCACCCACAAACCTTCCTTCTGTTGCATCCCACCGGATGATTTAGAGCAGTTTCGGAGGGTTTCCATTGCGAGTCGAACCACCATGGTGAGATAGCATCTTCAATTATATCATCTGTCGTTACTAAAGTCTAATAGCCTCCCATGACCCTACACGCGGATATCTCGTCCGAGATATCATCTCCTTCACAGTCACCCATCACACCACTGCCTCCTCTTACCAGGAGTCACTCTGTATGATTTGTCAATTGCAGACAGAAGCCTATCGCATGAGGATATAATATAATGCTCGCTCTGATGGTTGCCTAGCCCTGTACAGGATAATGATCATGTCAAGCTTGCAAGCGCAGCGGTTGTCGCTGTATACTTCTATCAAGGTTTGGTGCGTCACGGCAGCCAAGGGCTGGTATGACTCAATTCTGATATGGTCATAAAGCTTAGACGCTGACGTCTGTCACTGTAATAGCGGCCTTAGCCATCGTACCACTAAATTCCTCCACTCCTGATCTATACACCTCCGCCCCCAGCTCGTTCTCCACCTCTCAAAGGTCTAAAAGCAACAACAAGATGACGATATTTCACCTGCATCGCTCTCACGAAGCTAAGCGGCAGAAGATACGCGACAAGATTATCAAGGCTCACGCAGAGATCGAAAAGTACCCTGATGGCTTCCTGAAAGTTTGGCAGCTGTTGACGCTGAAAATCGACGTTTCGCAGGTCTCTGTGAGCACGAAGGGTATAATCAAGTTCAGACCACGCTTCTTTTTGCCCTTGTCCTCACAGACTATACGCACCTGTCTTTCAACGAAGCTTTCGAACAAAGCAGCCCTCGATGAGGAAACGCCAAAGTGTCTGGGATGCCCGGGCTCTCGAGTCAGCATACTGTCGATTACACGATGCCCGTTCATTCTTGATCTCTGTCGAGATAAATTTGCGACTGCTGTACGGAGAGGCTTCTGCTTGGACAACCTGACCATCCTTCGAGAGTGTGGGTAAGTATCAGCAAGTGATTCGCATGCAAATTTGGGACCTAACACGCGGTGATAGTGCAACCAACAAGGGAAAGTGGAAGCATCAGCCGGGCTTCGAGTTGATTGACGAAAAGCTTTCCACTGATCGCTGGCAGATACTCCGCATCTTAGAAGACGTCGAGCATGAGGTACCCCATGTTGTTTTCGATATTCGCCAGAACGTCGATGTCGATAAGGTGAAATCGCTCACTGTGGGTGAGGTGAAGGCTATCCTGAGAGTGATGGCAGTCCGTATGGAATTGGATTGCTACCGACAACATCTGATAATGCCAGTAAGTTCTTCAAATGCCCTCTCGATATTACAGGCTTCATTCGGCCGCACTCTGACAGTGCCTCAGATCCTGGTTGTGTCGTACCTGAATTCAACGCAGGGACGAATCCTGCAAGCGCATCATAATGGCAAACGAGTGGTCATCCAGCATACGAAAATCCTCGAATTTGAAGGACTCAAGCATCGGCCAGTTGAACTCTTTCTCCGCTACTACGGCAGCCAGCCTATAGGGGAAACCGTCAGTATTTGATAAGTGCTCAGGGATTGCCTTGTGGAGGCGTGTGAGGCCAGTCACGCTTCACGTGCAGGGGACAGGATAACCACTGGACTTGAAAGTATATGTCCCAACTGGCTTGCGCAGGAATCCTACAAGAGGAAGAACATTAATCACAAGATCAGCTGAATCTAGATTGTCGGCCGTCTGCACTAATGTTATCAGTATCGCCCCCGCCAATTTGTGCATTACGCACACACGATAACGCTATCGGCTTGGCTCCCCATCGTCTCCAATCGGGGACCCATACAAGCTTATCAACCCCATTCACTGTCTACTGTGGAGAGATATTGAAGATACTCCTTCACGGGATACCTTATTCTGTCTGTGACAGAATGCCATCAAGTCGAATATCGCACAACTTTATGGGATGTTTCGGATTCTATCACGATCGGATGGTGCGGGCAAGATTATAGGCTAGCGCTTCTCCGCATCCTGGGGTGTGAATGCAAGGTAGCTCGGCCGTTATCGAGACGAATCTAGCCGGCATAATTCTTATCAGGCTGATACACCTGCCCAGACGCTAGCTAACGCTCAGGTGTCACAATTCACTGCAGGTGGTGATAAGAAAACCAGTTGAGTTGATTGAATAGCCTTTTAAAGGGAGCCATGCCGTCCCGCGATGTCTGCCCCTCCCAGTCAGTCGTTGGGTTCCGTGGTCATCGTGATAGCCGTTTTCCGGGAAAATGGCTTCGGAAGAACTGCGCGAGAAAACACTGAAATCTCCGCACGTCAGTGCAGATGTTGAGGTTGAACAAGGCCGGTTGGATGATCTACAACCCGAGTTCGACGCCTCCGAAGAAAAAGAAGCGGACTATGACTATGAATCGGAACACTCGCCATTCCCTGAAGGTATGTGCCTTGGATATACTCTCTAGCGCCTCTAATGGGTGAACCGCCTAGTACGGGCCGTTGTGCCTGAAACCGATGACCCTGGCATGCCTGTCAACACGTTTCGCATGTGGGTGCTTGGCTTCATCTTCACCATAGTGGGCTCAGGAATCAACCAATTCTTCTCGCTCCGGTATCCGTCAGTGCACATCGTATCGCTGGTAGCAGAGTTACTGGCTTATCCATGCGGCGTCTTCCTCGCCAAAGTCTTGCCCTTGTGGACCATCAGCCTCGGACCGCTAGGGACTTTCACCCTCAATCCAGATCGCCATTTCAATATCAAAGAGCATGCCCTCATCGTTATCATGAGCAACGTCTCGTTCGGCTACGGAAGCGCAGACTCGACAAACATCATTCAAGCATCGAGCGCCAAATTCTACAATTTCGGGCTGTCCGCTGGGTTCTCCGTCTTGGTGGTCCTTTGTGCACAGCTGTTGGGATTCGGAGTGGCAGGGCTGGCTGCGCCGTGGCTAGTTGAGCCTGCAAGGATCATCTGGCCACAAGTTTTGTCGAACTGTGCCATGTTGGAGACCCTCCACTCGCGTGCGAACACTGTCGCCAATGGCTGGAAGATCTCCCGTCTGCGGTTCTTCCTCTATGTTACTGCTGGTGGTTTCGTGTGGTACTTCTTTCCCGGGTTGATGTTTACAGCACTCTCATACTTTACCTGGATCTGCTGGATTGCTCCTCGCAATGTGGTAGTGAATCAGTTGTTCGGGATGCAGACTGGCTTGGGACTCAGCCCTATCACGTTCGATTGGAGTCAGGTTGCGTACAACACCAATCCCCTCCTTTCCCCATCATGGGCTGCAATCAACGTCTTTGCTGGTTTCGCTATTTTCTTCTGGATCGTGGTCCCAGGAATCTACTATAGCAACACATGGTACACGGCCTATCTTCCTTTGATGACCGCTGACGTCTATGACCGGACCGGCACCGAATACAACACAACCCGTGTCATCAGCACCGACAACACTCTTGACGTCGATGCCTACAGAAAGTATTCGCCCCCATACCTACCAGCAACATACGCCTTCGTCTACGGCCTGTCGTTCGCCTCAATCACCGCAGTCCTCACCCACATCGGTGTCTGGCATGGAAAGGAAGTATGGGCTGCCCTCAAAGGCAAGAACAAGCTCGACGTCCACGCCCGACTGATGAAATCCTACAAAAAGACGCCTTGGTACTGGTATGCCGCTGTCATCGCCATCATCACCGCCATTGCAATCGTCATGGTCGAGGTATACCACACCAAGCTCCCAGTCTACGGCGTCTTCCTAGGCTTGATTATCCCAGCCCTCTACATGGTACCCTGCGGCATCATTCAAGGCATCACCAACGTTGACGCCAACCAACTGAACGTCCTCGCCGAATTCGTCGGCGGCTACATGTTCGAAGGCAAGCCTCTCGCCAACATGATCTTCAAGATTCTCAGTACCGACGTCGTGGGCCAGGGCGTCTACTTTGCCATGGACATGAAACTCGGCCACTACTTGAAAATCCCCCCGCGCACACTCTTCATGGCGCAAGGTCTAGCCACCATTCTCGGCGCCCTCACCCAAGCCGGCGTAACAATCTGGATGCTCGGACACATCAACGACATCTGCGACTCCAATCAACCCGACGGATTCACCTGCCCCAACGGCCGAACAGTCTACTCCTCCTCCGTCATCTGGGGTCTAGTGGGTCCTCGTCGTCTCTACTCCGTCGGAAAGATCTACTCTTCTCTACTCCATTTCTTCTGGATCGGAGCCATCGCCCCATTGATCACCTACCTGTTATACAAATACACCCGCCAACAATTCTGGAAATACATCAACTGGCCCCTCATCTTCGTCGGAACCTACAACGTCCCACCCGGTAAGCAGTATCCCCAAATTACCTCTTACACCCCCCCCCTCCCCTCTACCAACCAAACTAACATCCCATCCCCCCCCAGCAACCGGAATCAACTACTCCAGCTGGGCCCTCGTAAACTTCGCCTTCAACCACTTCATCAAAAAGCGTTTCTTCGCCTGGTGGAAAAAATACAATTACATTCTTGCCGCCGCGCTGGACACCGGCCTTGCCCTCAGCGGCATCGTCATCTTTTTCTGCATTTCTTACCCCGGCGCGGTGTTTCCCAATTGGTGGGGGAATACTGTTTATCTGAATACGGCGGACGGGGAGGGTGTGGCGTATAAGGCTATGCCTGAGGTTGGGTACTTTGGGCCTGCGAATGGGACGTGGAGTTGAGGGGTTGGTTTTTGTTGATTTGTATTTGAGATTTGTGGGTTGTGAGCGATGATGATGATAATGTTTCATGAAAACGGAGAAGCTTTGTTATGCCAATCAGTGTATGGCGAGGAGGTTATTTCCCCAAGCTCAATGAAAATTCCAGAATTTTATTTCTCAACATTCGTTGGTACGAAGTAGACTAATCTATAACACGACAACGTGGACTATTAGCCCGAATTGGCTGGTTACAAGGACGCATGCTTGCTGACTGATTCATTGAGCAAGTGTATTAGATACATGACCTTCCCCACCTCGATATCCCAATAACACTACCGGCATTAAAGAAAAGAACAAAGCACACTAGAAAGACATATCGGAAGAACAATGAAGAAGATAAAACGAAAGCTTGAAACTCGAATCCAACCGGCGGACCCCGAGCGCGTAAAGATTGGCCGAGTGGCCAGTCAGAGCCTGGCCCTTCGCAGTCGATACATTTGACCCACGCGGTGCGATTGAGTCAACGGTATCATGGAGCATTTACTGAACAGATCGTTAGCCTCACAACATGACTTCGACTCTTTGATAAACTTACGGAGATCTCGGCCATTCCGAGGTCTTCGCCACCGTTGGCGGGCTGCTGAGGGGCAGCGCCGTTTGCTTGAGCAGTAGCGTCGGCGGAGCCAGTGTTCTCGTTGGTGGCAAAATAATCCACCATTTCGGCATCAAGCTCCTCAACAGTCTTGGGCTTAGGACGGTTAGCACGGCCGTTAGGACGACGAGCACGAGCCTTGCGACCCTTGGCACCGGCAGCAGCCTTCGTAGCCGTAGCCGGCTTGGGCTGGGGCTTCGTTTGACTTGACGAGGTCAGTGACCATACTGCAGAGAAAATAATGGACGAGACTTACGCAACACGGTCACCAAGGGGCTTGGGGGCGGCAACCTCGGGAGCGTGGGACGCATCGACGACAACCTCAATCTATCGGACGTTAGTGTCTGTGAAAGACATCGACAATCTGGGCAAGAAAATTCGATCAAACTCACCTTCATGGGTCTGCCATCAACAAGCAGTCCGTTCAAGTCCTTAGCAGCCTTGGCAGCTGTATCAGGCTTGCTGAACACGATGGACGCAATTCCACGGCTCGTGCCGTTTTGGTTGTAGGTGAGCATAACTCGTTTGACAGGACCTGCGGACTTTGTGAAGTATTCCTATAGCACCAGCAGATCGAATTAGTATGTCGAGCCAACAAAATGTGAAGTCGTAGAGATTTCCGCAGAGCCAAATCATCGAAGAACGCCTGACACCGGCTTCAAGCGCGATACCAAGAGCACCAGCGAGCACACAGCGGTGGTTAGTAAACAGCGGATGGAAACTCGTCCCGAATCACCGAGGTACTGAGGTCGGAAGCACGGAGCTGCTAGCAATTATCCCAACGACCATGGCTGTAAACACCTCCGAAGCCTCAAGGAATTTACCATATGTCCCTCTTCCAGGTAAACCCACTCGACAATCGCCATCGATTCGTAACTGGGGAGGCTGGCCTCAATGCTACGGGCCGTAGTTGCCAGCTGCCACCGCCAAAGAACAACCGTCACGAAGGCTACGTGTGCGACAAAGCAATGGTTCTGTTCCCCCAGAATCCCTCTAGCAGCCAAAGATAAGAAAAGCAATTGCATCGCTTGTCTCCAGTAGGTAGCATGGGAATGTCTCCTGCCCGACTAAGACATTCCCATATCGACCATTGGTAGCATGGTGCTTGATAGTTGATTCTCTGCCGAACTAGTCGGTCTCCTGCTGGTACGCTGATGCGCTCGCTGATGCCCGACACCTCGAAACGTAGGAAGTGGATGGGTGTGGCCAATCGGATTGGTTTCAGGATGGCGTACTCTGACGACCATCTGGGGCACAGTCTGCGGCGTGGCTCCAAGGCGGGTAATTGGAATACCCCGCCCGAGCTAACACGCCATTTGCAAGACTACGGCAGCACTCAACTTCGGCGGATTCGCAGGGTGCCAGCGTGCAATTACCGCATTGGAAGTTTCAAAGGAGTTGCTGCCTGTGCTGAAGACCAGGAATCCATGATGGCGATATAAATATATATGTGGCAAGGATCGAAACGCGAGTGGAAGTCGTTGCGCCCCGAAGGTTTCGAGAAGAAAACATGGCGATAGAAACCCAAGGCCAAGGCCTTTCAATCAACATACCTTAATGTTGGCCTCATTCACATCGGCAGGCTAAAGACGTAAGCAAACGGCCACAAAGAGCAAATAACGCTCGAGAGGGAACTGGGACTTACCAAGCCGCTGACCATGATCTTACTCTCGGTTGAGACCGGGTGTCCATTCTGGACGGCTTTTCCAGGTGCCTTGGCAGCCTTGGTGGTCTTCTTCACGCCTCCGACCGGGACAGGAGCGTTGGCAGCCTTAGGCGCGGAACGGCGGGCGCGGCGACGGGCGCCCTGGCGGCGGCTGACGAGGATCTCGTCGAGAGACTTGTCCAACTTGGCAGACATGGTGAGAAGCGTGGAGTGGCGAAGTTTAAAAAAGCGGTGTTGGTAGATGAATGGTTTTCACGAAGCGTGAAGTGTTACGAGTTGCGCCACGGAAGATGGCAACGCTGGCAAATGTTGATTCGGAGAAGCGGTGTCCAGAAACTGGCTATGTAAGCTGGACAATGGGCAGTAAAAGAAGATGAAATAGCAGACTCAAGAAGCAGCGTGTAGAGATGGGAAGCTGCAATGTGGGATGGAGAAGTGTAAAGTGAGGTAGAGGTGAATGGAGATGGATGATGAAAGGAAGGGAAACGGAAGAGGGATGGGCGAAGATAAGCAAGGGCGGAGGAGAGGTTGGACCTGGGACTGCTGGGAACTTCTGCCAGTCAGTGACTCGAAGAGGCTGAGCACCCGCGCTAGCCCGATCGGGCCATTCGGGCCAGCTCTATGACTTGCATAACTTACCTGCCCAAGCATCAAGAATGACACGCTTCTACCGCCTATCTCTGGAGCACTACGACTAGTAATCATGCAATCTAATTTTGTATTCTTCATTCGACCTCGCAGCCCACACTCGTCGACTCGCAGGCATCTGTAACATCCCGCTGCGCCAAGAGTCGCTGCTGCCCAAAGACCAAAAGCCAACCCAACAATGCAGGAGTCAAGCACATATCTACGGGCAGGGATATTATCGGAGAGAAATCATCAAATCAAAAGAAACATCGGAATCCGCTCAACGTTGAAGGACCAGCCCCGTAAATCAAGGTTGGAACAATATTTAGATGAACGCCCCAAAACGCCCACCCTACCAAACTCCAGTCAAGCAGGAAAGAAACCCATCTTATACTCAACGACATCTCGCAACTCACCACAATGTAAGCCCAGATATACAGCCAACCTCGTTCGTTGGGTCCTTCAGCTCTTCAAGGCTTCCAGTCGTCCCCTCATCTGCTCCAGCGTCGCTTCGGGGTCCACGAACTCCTCCTCCGGTTCCGGAGCCTCCTCCAATGGCCTCTCTGGCTGGACCCCTTCGACCTGGGACAGCTTGCCATGCAAAATCTCCTGGAGAACCTTGTCGACTTCCTCGTCGGCTTCTTCCTCTTCTTCTTCCAGCAGCTCACTGTTGGGGATCGCATCATCGACCATTTCCTCAATGATTCCGGCCCGCACCAGTTCCGTCGAGAGCTGACGCATCGTGGCCGTCAGTTCGGGCATCCGGACCAATGTATTTACATCCTTCATGATTCCCGTCGATTTCTTCAGGCTGCCCTGGATCTTCCGGACGGAAAACGCCTCGTTCACCTGCATCTGGACACTTTGCAGTTGCGCGCGACTGGTGTGTAAGCGGGTGGACTGTTTTCGAATCCGCACCAGCTCTCGCGCAAACGTCTTGGCCTCCGTATTGGCCTGCTTAGCCTGGGAGGGATTTCGCTGGGCCCGCCGCGATGAATTCATTATGTACTGCCGGGTCTTGCTTTCCAGGGTTTTCAGTTGTGCGATGTCACGATCTAATTGACGGGTATTGGCGCGAATGAGCTGGTTACATTTCCTCATCTGCAGGCAGCGGTATCGGTCAGAATCGGCATCGCTCTTGATGGCTAGGGTAGGCACTTGCCTGTGTTTGAGGATCAGGACCAAAAAAGACCGCTTTGAGGGTCTCCATGCTGGTTTATGGGAGGAGATACGTCTCCACCTGGCGGGATCTATAACAGAAGGGTATCTATGTTGGAATGAGAGTGTGCAGTTGGGCGTCGCGCACCAGGGTCAGCGATGAGAGAGGCGTTATCAGAAGGGCGGCTCAGTCAAATCTGGAGACCTTGGCACTGCGGTGGGGTACGAATCCGGAAAGGTCAAGGCTCTCCGTTCACTTTGGGGTTCGAGGCTGGGAACACTGGACAAGCAGCTTGCAAGAATGAGGGATCACCTTGCAGAGTCTCCGGGAAGGCAGCAGATTGACTAGTCGGACTGCATGGCTGCTGGATGCTGCTGGCTGTGTCTGGGCTCAAGGAGTAGGTGGATGTCCGATTGTTCCACTCGCAGCTGAGTCAGCCGGACAGGGATCGGGGCGGTGACGTCGCCGGCTCTGCGGAGCCTCAGGCACCGAGAGGCCGCAAACAGGGCAAACGGAGGGCGGGCGGGAGAGTTCCAGTACTTTCTAGCAGCAGTCGCGGGCGATCATCAGCTAAGAGCAACCGGCTGTTGCTGCAACTTCACTGTCCGTCTAGCCCCGACATCCTTCCCACCTCTTCTTTACTGCTTCCGACCGGATCGCTACCTCACCGTCAATCATCCCAAACCATCTACTCGCTCATCACCTGTCATAATGCCCGAACTCCCTCAGGTCCACCCCGAAGGTGAGTGATTCCGCCGTGCCTCATCTTTCCCCGCTCTGGATTTTCGTGGCTTGGTGGCCGGGCCTTGGGAATCACCATGCCCTCCCACGGCCGAATTATCTCTCATCTTATTGTCTTTCCGATATTCCCATGCCTGCTGTTATCCCTACTAGCATGAGATGCTAATCAAGTTTATCCACCAGTCACATGGGCTCAGCGCTCTTCGGCTTCTGATGCCGAGCGCAACTACCTGTATGTCAACATCAAGGCCGCCGATGTTGCCCGTACCTCCGCGACCCTCGACATCAAGCCCACCAGTGTCACCTTCACTGGCGACTCGAAGAAGGGCGTCAAATACCACGTCTCCCTCGAGTTGTATGCCGAAATCGACCCTGAGAACTCCAAGGTCAACCACAGTGACCGTGAAGTCGAGCTGGTTTTGCGCAAGAAGGAGCTGAAGGAAGAGTTCTGGCCTCGTCTGCTGAAGACCACTCAGAAGATTCACTTCTTGAAGACTGACTTCGACAAGGTATGGCACTTGTCCTGACTTGCCGTTGAGGGATGAAGAAATAGGAAAGGATGCTGACCAGATACAGTGGGTTGATGAGGATGAGCAAGATGAGGTGACCGAGGATGACTATGCCAACAACTTTGGTGGATTCGAGGGTCTCGGAGGCGAGGGTGGTCTCTCCAACATTGACTTCTCCAAGCTTGGTGCCGGTCTCGGTGGTGAAGCCGGTGCTGGTGGAGAGGAAGAAGATGTATGTTGTGCACCAACTTGACATTTGGCAGACGTTCAGCCACTGACAATATTACAGGATGAGGATATGCCCGAGCTTGAGGAGGCCGAGGGCGAGGGTGCCCAGGCTTCCAAGATTCAGGAGGTTTCTTAAATGCTGTGCCCTTCTACTGCGATAGGCAAGGCGTTACAACCCAAAGAATAAAAACATAATGGCGAGCGACGAGTTCCGTAACTGTTGAGCTTTCTTTGCTCGTTATCACCTATATTATACCGCTCATGGTTAAGGTTCATCACTATGATTTGGAGCTACCTGGCGCACATGGACAGGCTGGTAGGCCTGCCTTGAAAGGCAAAGGGAAACGGAAAAGGATTCACCATTTTCACCATATTGGTACGAATTGACGAGATGACTGGCAAAGCGTTCACTTCCTCCGAGGGGATTCCCTCGACAGCTTCCAATCCGTAGAGGGTGTCGATAGTCCGACACGATGACGAGATTTGCGACCGTAGGAGTGTAGAAACCAACTATATCCGCCGTACGTAGTACATCCTGGAGAAAGACCGAGCCCAGACTGCGCCAGTCGAACCGTGGAATCCTGAATGGCCCTGACGGACCAAAAAAATGCGAGGCAATGCCACGCCTGAGGAGGGTTGAGGGGACGGCGACAATCCCACTCGATTGGCGGAGAGGCCGATTATGTGAAGTTGTTCCGCCACACTGGGAAACCCACACCTTGAAAATGTGGAGGAACCTGCACCTCCTCACGATCTCCCTTCCTCACTGTCGTTCACCCCATCTCCCGCCCCAAGAAGCCGAGGTGTTGTCATTTTCTTGACCCTCTCCCGTCGGGACGATCGGTCGACCCCTCCTTTGGTGATTTTTCTGTCCGTGGCGCTTTTTGTTTCGGCGCATCGTTCATCTTTCCCCCTCCGTTTGGTTTTCTCTGTGCGAGGCCCCTCGCCAGATCGGCGCGCAACTTATATACCTCGTCGAGCTTTTTTATTTTTATATCTGCCTATTTTTGGTTTTTAGACAAAAGCGCAGAATCAATCCGCCATCATGCCTCCCAAGAAGCCCGATCCCCCGAAGAAGAAGACCAAGGCCACGGTCGAGGACAAGGTTTGATCCCCCGCTGTTTGATGCTGATTGAGGATGGTAATGCTGACTCGCGACCCTGTGTATAGACCTTTGGCATGAAAAACGTACGTGACGATATCTTCTACACCCGCATAATCCACACGAGATCGAACACAACCCACTGACCGGTATTTTCTACACAGAAAAAAGGTGGTTCCGCCAAGAAACAGATCGCTCAACTACAGGCCCAAGCGCAGTCCAACAAGACTGCCGAAGCGAAGAAGAAGGAAGCCGAGAAGGCTCGTCGTGAGGCTGAGAAGAAGGCTTCCGAGCAGGCCAAGAAGGAGGCTCTGGAGCTGTTCAAGCCCGTCCAGGTTCAGAAGGTTCCTTTCGGTGTTGATCCTAAGACGGTTCTTTGTGTTTTCTTCAAGCAGGGCAACTGTGAAAAGGGCCGCAAGTGCAAGTTCAGTCATGACCCCAACGTGGAGCGCAAGGCGGCCAAGAAGGATCTGTACACCGACTCTAGAGATGTGAAGGCGGCGGAGGAAGAGGCTAAGAAGAAGGATACGATTGATGACTGGGACGAGGAGAAGCTTCGCAAGGTCATTCTCAGCAAGCACGGCAACCCGAGAACCACTACGGATAAGGTCTGCAAGTACTTCATTGAGGCGGTTGAGAACCAGAAGTACGGTTGGTTCTGGACTTGTCCCAATGGAGGTGACAAGTGCATGTATAAGCACAGTCTGCCACCTGGGTATGATTCACCTTTTACTAAGTTTGTGTCGGTAGTAGCGCTGACCAGATCTACAGTTTCGTTCTGAAGACGAAGGAGCAGAAGGCGGCTGAGAAGGCCCTCATGGACAAGTCGCCGCTGAACACCCTGACCCTCGAAGACTGGCTCGAAAGTGAACGACACAAGCTGACTGGCAACCTGACCCCTGTCACCCCGGAGACGTTCGCCAAATGGAAGAAGGAGCGTCTGGACAAGAAGGCGGCCGAGGAGCAAGCCCAGAAGGCCAAGGAAACCACTGGACGTACGCTATTCGAGAGTGGCAACTGGCGTGCGGAGGATGAGAGCGAGAGCGAGGATGAGGACGATGGAGTGTGGAACCTGGAAGCCATGCGGCGCGAGACGGAGAAGATCCGCGAGAGGAAGGAAGAAGAACGCCTGGCGATCTTGCACGGCAACCCCGTGCCGATCTCGAACGAGGAAACGATTGCACAGGAAGGTGAAGGCTGAGCTTTGGGCGATCCCCAAGTCCGCAAGAAAACTTGGGCAAATGGTTGCGGACCTCCCACACTGGAAACGGTGTCCCGGGCCGTTGTCCGGGCCCGGGATGTTGATCGGGTTGATGGATGGTATATACGATGCTGGGGATCGTTGGGCTGTCTGGTCACGGATCGCCCACGAACCTCGGCTTGTGTTGATGTCCGCGACTGGGTTTGATGGCTCTTGCGGTTAACGTGAACGGTTGGTCGTGTCGCTTTGGGGGCATTGCTTCAGACGCCCTTGGATGGGAGCGACTGCGCTGGATCCCACTGGCATGGCCTGGGAGGGCGAGGAAGGCCACGGCGAGGGCACCAGATTGCCTGCGAGCGATCGACGGGTCTGGGGCGTGGAGGTGAGGACTGACTCATGATTTGCGATGCCAGATTTGTACGTAAAACGTTCTTGATTTGAATGAGCCAGCATTGCCTTGCACGGTTTGTAGGCCTGATGCTGTATCCACCACTACATCCTCCTACTTCCTAGACTAGAATCTCAATGTTCCCTGTGTCAGCCAGCTGGACACCTTGCGGTGTCAATGGTTGCCATGCGCATTCCAGTGGCCGCGGGGGCTGTCTGGCCGGTCTGTCTCACCCATGAATGAATCCCCCCTGCAGCTCCTCACCGATCTCTCCGGGGGATCTTGGGCCACGGCCGACTATCGATGATCAGCATCCACCAGCCTCCAGCACTCTCCACAACGGGAATAAGCCATCCGTCCTGTCGGAGTATAAGGTTATGGTCCATGGCAGGTCCATAGGCCCCTCCGCGTCCCGGTCTCAGTGCTGTGCTCATTCCCCGCCGCCATGCCCAAGATCATCCCCTTCACCGCTGTCCTGCTCTCGGGACTGCTGGCTCAATCCCATCTCGCCGCCGCTGTCGGCCGGGCCTGCGACTCTGAGACCCGCCCATACTCGACCTGGATGACTGACAGCGTCATCGCTCGCCGAGATGCCATTCTAGACTCCAGCACCCAAGATGACGTCTCCATCGTCTTCAAGATCGCCTTGTTCGAGTCCACCGTTATCCGACTGAAAGAGTACTACGATGCGGATTCCTGTGGCCAGGAGGATTGGCACAGCTACCTATTGGAGGGCGCCGAAAGCCTCCTCCCCCGAGTGCTGAATGTCACCGCAGATATCAACGCCCCTTTGGACGTGTTCGCAACCGGGGATGCCATGTACCACCAGTGAGTCCAACACCTTCCACCCACCTCATTCTCTCGGCCTGAACCAACCCGCAACCCATCTAGATATGACCGCAACTCCAACGCAACCTACAAGCAAGTCCTTGATACCCTTCACGACGCGTTCAACGCAAGAACTCGGAACTCAGAAGGTCAGACAACCCCGCCCACCCCTCAATAACCTTATACTCACCTCTTCAGACGGTCTCTGGTACTACAATGCCTACCCCAACCTCAGCTTCCTCGACGGAAGCTTCCCCCTCAGCTCCTTCTCCAGCCTCTGGCAGACCTGCTTCTCGCCCACCAACACCTCCATCGCCAACGACCTGATGCACAACCTCGACCTCTTCAAAGACCACTGCCACGACGACAGCAGCGGCCTCCTCTTTCACGGCTACGACGCCAGCAAATCCGCCTGGTGGGCCGACCCCACCACCGGCGCGAGCCCCTACGTCTGGGACCGCGCCTTGGGATGGTGGCACATGGCGCTCGTCGATCTCCTCGAACAAACCGACAACAACAACATCCTGAACCAGACGCAACGCGACGACGTCTACACGAAATACTGGAACCTCGCCAACACCATCATCAATGACGCTGACAACTCCACCGGCTGCTGGTGGCAGGTCATGTTGCACGGCGGCCAGGAAGGGAACTATATCGAATCAAGCGGCTCCTCTATGTTCGTGTACTCGTTGCTCAAGGGCGCCAGATTGGGGTATTTGTCGGGTTCGACGCCGAATGGTGTGGGATATACTGATGCGGCGGAGAAATGCTACAATTATCTCGTGGAGAATTTTATTACCCAAGAATCGGATGGCACGTTGGGTATGGATCGCACGGTCTCGGTGTGTGGGTTGACGGATCCGACGTTTGAGGTACGCCCCCTCCCTCTCTTCCTGCGCTGCACCCGAGTGTGAATCTCACTGACACTCGACTAAACTAAAGTACTACACTTCCCAACCCATCGACTACAACAGCGTCTTCGGCACCGCACCCTTCATTCTCGCTAGCTGGGAGCACGAGATGTTCACAGCGGGATCCGACACTTAAAAACTATACACTACCAGTTACCCACTCTAGTTACCCATAATCCATAGAAACAACATACTCCGACACGACAAATACCCACTTCTCCTATAATCCAAATCGTACCTCGTATCTCCTGATCCCATGACAAACTCTCCCCATAGCCCAAGACAACTATAGCCAAACTATCTATCCATCCCATGTAAAGTTAAGACATATATATGCAAGGGGCCCCCGTATCTCGAAAGTCTAATTACTATCCTCTTGTGATGACTTTAGTATCCATATCCATCCCCCTTGATTACAAATACATTATCGTAATTAGTATCTGGATCATCTAACACGATTACATCAATCACTTCATGAAATGGTGAAGAAACGAATGATGAGAGGGTCTGGCTCGGCTAAGGCCAATATATCTATATATATATATATATATACCTGTGTACTACATTGTGCGTAGGAGGGTGCTAGTGCACGAATTAGTAATCATAATTACTGGCGGTACTTATGGAGTTATCAAACTACACAGTACCTTTACCCTGTATGTGATACAAGACAAGGGTATGGAAATGCGTGACATGGATTTTGAGAGATGGTGACTTGGACTTCTTTCCTACATAGTATACTAGAGATCCTCAGGCTACGCGGGTTACTTGTCATGTGATCGTCAGATCTTATTATTGTTATTGATCAGTACGAGTCAATGTAGATGGAGGGTCAGAGGACAAGTTATATTCAACTGGCAAATGGCTTTGTGCGTGTCCTACGCATGGTCTTTAAGAGCCAAGATGATCATATTTCTGGGCTCAGAGTCGGTTCACAGAATAGAGTCAAGAAGACACAAGAAGTTTTCCACAATTTAAGAATAGAACTATGGTGCTCTACAGGTTCTGGGTTCACTGTCTCGTTCAATTCGTACCTGGCATTGCAGTCATAAAGCCGTACCATGTTAGTTCTTGAGCACCTCGCGGGGAGAGGACAGGACGTCCTCGAACCACTTGTACGAGGGGGCCAGACTGTGCGGGTAGCCCATGTGGGGGAGACCGTGGTAGAATCTAGTGGCTGTTAGCATGGTTCATGGCGGTGTCAGATGTGGGGGGATTCACGAACCTTCCCTCCTTGGGGCTTCCGTGGTTGAATAGCAGCAGGCAGTCTTCGATGGGGGTCACGCCGTCATCCCGACCCTGGATACCACCGATGTTAGCTAGATTTGGCAAGGGTTGGTGAGTCATACGTTGAGGAGCAAGAGTCTGGTGTTGGGCTGGTCCAAGATGCCCGTCTCCAGGAGCGAGAACTTCTTTTGACCATTCTTCTTGAACTCTTCCGGATCAGAGTAGCCGTACTTCTTGGCCCAGGCGGGCGTGAGCCTGTCAATCCGAGGTTAGTATTCGTTGGTTGAGCGGGCTACCTGCAACAACTCACAGGAATGGGTATTCGTGGTCATCAACTCTGCTCAGCCACTCAGGGTCCATGAAGTAATGGCAACCCGGTCCGTGAGCGATGAGTCCTGCAAATCGCTCACGGTGGGTGTGTGCCGCCCGGATAGCGTAGAAACCACCGGCACTGAGACCCCAGCCGGCCACCCGGGACATGTCGAACTCAGGACGAGTGGCCATGTAGTCGAGCACGCTGGACCAGAGACGGTCCGCCGATTCGGGGTCGCTGGGGTCCGCAGGGGAGTCCGCGGTACCTGGGATCTCACAGACAACGGTGGCCCAGCCACGGTCGATGATCTCGTGGGTGCGCTGGCTGTTATCAGGGCGGTATCCGTCCAGCCCAGTCATCAACAGCACAACTGGCACAGGGTTCTCGGCCGATGCATGTTCCGGCACACGGACGAAGAGGGGGACATGGGCGCCGTCAGCGGGCGACTTGTGCTTGTGAGGAATGATCACTTCCTTGATCGCCGGCTTCCAGAAAGATGCCGCCTTCAGGTAAACCTTCTTTTGGCGGTTGAAGGCCTCCTTCTTGATGTCGTCTTTGGTCGGATCGACATACGGGAATCGGGAAATACGATAGACCACCGCGGCTCTGCGGAGCAGGTCGGACGCCATCTCAGCGTTATTGTTGTTCAAAGCAGCCGAGGCCTTGTTCTCCAGAGCCTCAGCAACTGGGAAGAACGCCTGCGTGTAGGCATCGATGTAGGCATCGTTGATGTTTTCCTATGGGATCATAGGTTACTCCGCGATTCTACGGGCCGACGATGGAGCAACAGGACTTACTTCGATAAGCTTCTCGAAAATCGGTCTGAAGTCCTCGATAGAACCGTCGTGGAATGGGTAAACAGATTTCTCACACTAGGGTTCAGGTTAGACGAGGCCCCCTGACGGCTGGCCAACCACCGAGCAAGGGGTGGTGGTGCCGGCCAGGAGGGGACACCTACCGCAAACTTCCACTTCGTTTCCCAGAGGGCTTTGATAGAGCCTTTATGGGGGTAAACGGTGTCAAACTTCTCGCCGAGGATCCAAGGTGCCATTGTGTTCGTGAGGTCGAGTTGGTGGTCAAGTCAATGGGAAGAGGGTGGAATCTGGTACCATCTCGGCGGGAAAGCAGCACCGATGAACTCCTTTAAATGGGAATCACCTCATGTAAGGTACTCCAGATCAATAAGTTCTCTTGGGGTGCACATGAGGTCTCTTAGGGCGCTTGTGACATCAGAACCACGATTGAGTGTGCTTAGGGCTGGTCACGCAGGGGGGGGAACGCCAATCCCGGCCAGCTTTGGAAATAGGTGTTTTAGCATCTGTCTCGGACATTGGCTACAGTTGAACACTAATTAGGGAGCCAACCGACTATTTGCGGCGACTCTCGCTTTGAGGGATCTTGGTGAGACTCCCTTGCCTGGACCGTTCCATGTTAGAGCTTCCGCTGACTGTTGCTGCCCTTCCTGTTAGGCACCCACGTTTAAACCCCCCAGGGAAAGGGGCCGTGATGCTAGATTTCCCTGGAGTATGTGTCCTGTGCGATTAAGGCGCAATGATCCGTCCCTTATAGGCTGAGTGTATGTGATTGGATGTGGTGGATGTTGAGCCCACTGAGGTTTAAAATTGCCATTCTGGATGAAGTGCCTTATGTCGAACATCGTGGTAGCCACCAAGCAGGTTGTGCATTTCAGTGAACAGGGCATGACCGAAAATGAGTTTGTATTATTCACAAAATGCCTTGCATCCAACTGATTCCAAGGCGGACGGCGCATTCCAGAGGATGTGGCCTCAATCTGGATGGCCAAGAGGCAGACCTGTAAACACCACTTTCGAGCATACCTTTTCTTCTCGCTTCGTCTGGCTGTTCTCCGGGATCTGTCACGCCTATCGCAATTGCAATTGTTGCCACCGAAAAATATAGTTTTGGTAGGGAATGGATTGAGTGCCTGTAGCGAAATCTCGTGGCATGAAACCAAGGCCCCCCCCGGCGTATCACTGGGCTGCCACCTGTCGCACAGTGTCTTGCTTGACCCCCTTCATAGTTGGGGTCGGGCCACTAGGCATCAGTCTGTTCAGCTCCCCACCGTCAGGCTAGACGTGCCAATGCCCCCGGGCATTCATTCACCGGGAATTCCGCATCTCCGAACCTGGCAGGAATCTGCATCCAAGAGACCCTGACTCGCGGGCGGTGCACTTGGGTTGACTCCCTACTTCGCCATCCGTATCCCTTGAAGCAAGGACCGTTGCATGCTCGCATTCTATGTCTTTGATGGAATGATTTCTTCCGAACGGACGACGAAAAAGCACGATTCTGGTCGGCTCGGCTCATTGGTAGGCTTGCTTTCCGGTCATGCAAGAGATGTTTGTTTAGACTCGAGGCCGAGACGGCGAGACTGGCACGGTATTCCATATCGCCAAGGTCGTTTTGCCTGTTACCTCCTCGGCTTAACTAACTTTTGTCTCTCGTTTATCAATTCCAAGGGGCGTCCGTACATACTTATTCTTAACCTTTCTCCAACATTGCTCTGTCAATCTCAATTCGCTCCCCGTGAATGTTCTACTCAGAGCAGCGGAAATGATCCGGTCCCTCTTGACGCTCGGCCTGTATGGGGTCGTGCAACACGCATTGGGTAAGAACGTGTACCTGGATTGGAATATAACGTGGGTCATTGCTGCGCCTGATGGTTATGCGCGGCCGGTGATCGGCATCAACGGACAATGGCCGTGTCCTCAAATCGATGCCGATGTTGGTGACAACCTCATTGTCGATGTGTACAATGGCCTCGGCAACCAGTCCACGGGGATCCATTGGCATGGCCTCCATCAGAACTATAACGGGTACATGGATGGGGTTCCCGGTGTCACTCAGTGCGAGCTCCAACCCCATCAGCGAATGCGCTATATTGTTCCGGTACGTTGACCCTGTTGGCCTGGTCAGGACGCATCTAGATATCAGCCAGCCCGCTGACTTGTGGGCCTAGATGAATCAAACTGGAACCTATTGGTACCATTCCCACGAGCCAGGCCAGTATCCTGATGGACTGCGCGGTCCTATCATTGTGCACGACACCGTTCCTGCGCCATTCCACTATGACGAGGAAATGACTCTTACATTATCCGACTGGTATCATGTGCAGATGCCGCTATTAGTTGAAGACTTTGTCGTCCCCGGGGACCATGCCCCCTATGGAGGCGAAGAGCCGCTTCCTAACGCGGTCCTGTTCAACGACGCCATAAACACCAAGATTAAAGTCAAGCCAGACACGACCTATCTGATCCATGTCGTCTGTATGGGGAACTGGGCAGGTCACGCCCTGGTCATTGACGACCACGACATGACCATCGTCCGTGCGGATGGCATCGAGGTGGAACCGCATCCCCTTGGACCGCAGTATCTGCGTATGACCGTCGGGCAGCGGATCGACCTTCTTCTCACCACCAAGAATGATACCAGCAAAAACTATGCGATTTGGGATGGTCTCGACATTGACGAGATGTTCGTGCAGGAGGCGAGAAGCATGCCGGAAGGATACAATCCCAATGGCACCGCATGGCTCATGTACAACGAAGACATGCCCTTCCCACCGGCGCCAGAAATCCACATTAACAACGCCAGCTTGGATTTCCTCGACGATGTGACCTTGATTCCCAGGGACCATCTCCCGTTGATCGACCCCATTCAACATCAGTTAATTCTGGATGTCTACTCGACCACGGTGGATGGGAAGCCTGCTTACAGCATCAACAACATGACCTATACCGCTCCAGACGTGCCCACGCTGTACACGGCCATGTATTCCAATGAGGATGAATCCATGGATCCCTCGCTATACGGCGACGTAAACCCTTTCGTTGTCAATTACGGCGACGTCGTGGAGATCATCCTCAACAATCATCATGACAACCTCCACCCATGGCATCTCCACGGCCATGATTTCCAGGTCGTCCAGCGAACCTACCCGTACGGTGGCTATTTCAACGGATACGGCAACATTTCCGCTACACCAATGCGTCGAGATACCATCATGGTCGAGCCCGAGGGGCATTTTGTCATTAGATTCCGTGCCATGAATCCAGATAAGTCTTCCCTCCCTGCACCTTGCACTTCTCCCGGCTAACGTTGATTCGTCCTTCACGCATCTGGATGTTCCATTGCCACGTTGAATGGCACGTAGAAGTCCGTCTTATGGCAATTCTCATCGAAGCGCCGGACCAGCTTCAGAACTTGACGATACCGGATGACCATCTCGCGATTTGCGGAAACAACAAGGCCAGTAACTGGGCTCCGCTGCCGGGTCCCCTATGATAGGCGGGCCAATTCGGCATCAGGTAAGAAGGCCTGCATGTCGTTGCTATGATGATTACTGACCGCATCCAGAACATGCCATCTGGTCAAAGACACGAAGTTATGCAATCTGAATAACGCCGGCCTTGGAGCCACCGCACTTCCTGTCAACGTGAGCATCTGGAGAGGCTGGACGCCTATAGACTAAACACGCTGGAGACGGGAGGGTTTGACCATGGGAGGCACAAGAACCTTCAGATGGTGGGATATGCCCAGGGTATCCGTCACGAAATAGTCATTGAAAAGTAATGTTACGACCAATAGACGAAAAGTTGTATCATCTTTGTTGCCTGAGTAGGTTGCAGCGCATTGTAGCCTCAAGGCGAGCCTCGTATGTGGGAGGTGTAGGCAGTGTCATAACCCACACGTTGACAGAGAGCCTACAGCGAGGCCTTTGCCCTCACCAATCCGTTGTCTTTCATCAGGTTGAACACATCCTCTGCTACCCCCCAGGACAACTCAAACCCACGCCCTCCAGCTCCATACGCATGGACGATAACTCCCCGGCCATCGCCCATTTTCTCTGCTTCGATCCTCATGCCACCCTCTCTTGCAGGTCGACGACCAACAATATCCCGAATGACATCAAACTTCCCTTCACTACCCTCAGCAAAGGGGAACCACTTCGCAGCATTCGCCAGCAATTGAGCCCGTGTCTCCAACGACGGGTTCGGATCCCAATTATGCGGTTGCTTCGTGCCCCCGATAATCGTACCACCACCCAGCGGCCGAGGAATGCAAAACGACCATGACCGATCACTATTTTGTCGGGTAATTGTCACCGAGCACGGATTCCTGACGAGACATGTTTGTCCTACCCATAGTCAGCATCATCTCATACCAGACACCCGCACAACAAGACCACCAGTATTCACACTCACCCTTAATAACAAACGCCTTCTCATCCCCCATCCCCAACCCCGAACAATTAACCACAGTCCTCACGTTCCCCGCCAGATAAAACCCCTCCCTCAAATCCACAAACGTATACTCCCTCACCTCCCCGCCCCTCAACACAAACTCCCTCAACAACCACGCACAATACACCGGCGAATTCACCACAAACGTCTGATACTTCACTCCCCACTTCACACCCTCCGGCAACTCCCCCTCCCCCCCTTGTAACTGCCTAAACCCATCCAAATGCGCATACGCATTATGTATATTCCCCGCATCGAGATACTCCGCCGGTGGAGCCTCGAGGTATTCGATCCCTGGGAGGGATTGAACCCCGGAACCGGGTTCCTGGGCCGCGAGGTGCGTGAAGTGCGCGTAGGTTCGTTTCGCTTGGGTTTCTTCGCGCGTCAGTTGGGGGGTAGAGCCGGGGACGGGTCGGTAGTGCGCGCCGGCCCAGGGGGAGGCGTAGTTGAGGGATGTGCTGTGGGGGAGGTCTCGGGCTGCGAGGAGGATGGTTTGGTTGGGGGGGAGGTGGTCTTGGAGGTAGAGGGCTGTGGTGAGGCCGAGGACGCCGGCTCTGTTGCGGGGTGGTTAGTGAGAGGGGTTGTGGTTGGGGTTGGGGTTGGGATTGAGGAGGGAGACGTACCCGATTACGACGATGGTTTCTTTCTCGGTCATTTTGTAGGTTGTAAGTGTGATTGCAAATGTGGTGGGAAGATGTGAGGTGGATGGACTTCTTTGTTTGGGGATTGAGGGGGTTGATAAGCGGTTTGGTTTCCCCGCACGCTGGCTGATAACTAAACCTATTGGGTTGGGGGACTGAGTCATACTTTGGCCATGGCGTGGTGTCTGATAATATTTGTGGGCTTCTTTGCTGGTGAAAGCCAGTCAGATGCAGTGGGAATTGGCTTTAGAAGCACGGGGCCAAGATCTATAGAATTGGATGGTTTGAGTTCCGATTTCGGGAGTAGATACGAATAAACTACTATCGTAGTAAGCTGGCAATTGACGTCGTATCATTAACCTGCTCTGTGGAGCTTGGTGCAATCAGGCAAACTTTCCAGAGCCCGCTAGTTATCATCTATCTGCTAACTAAGCCCTCCGTTAATCTGCTTCCCATTTGTCTCGCTTGGCCACATCCACCGCTTGCATGGACCGGCAGTCATCGGCAGTCCCGTTATCAAATCGGACAAGTCGAGACTAGCATGACCGTAAGCCAATCCGCAGCTGACCTGGCCTGCCAGGTGGTGTTGTCATCTCATGGACAGTGCCCGCATGCGGTAGAACCTGGCGAACCTTCGTTTGTGGGCTGAAGACGAATTGAATCCGCTAAATGCGCGGCAATTGGGGTATATTTGTGAGACGTCGTGCAGTGGTCTGGACCGACACAGTTCTCCCTTTCCTTTCATAATCGACCAGAGGAGACTCGGGGTATCTAATCCAAAGCATCGGGCAACTTCTCAATGGTGAACTTTCCTCGGGCGACCTTCATGAGCGGCACACCAGGGATCTTGCGCAGGCGACGACACAGATCCTGATCGTTGGTCGCCACAATGTAAATTCTATGCTTCGTCACCTGTAACGCTGTTAGCGCGCTGTACCACACCAACGAGCGTCTGCGTAACCACTCACCCGATCCACGATACAGTCATCTGCATATGTACCCTTGTGAGAGCACTTGAGCCGAGCCCAGCGAGGATCCTTGGCGACGCGAAGTGCCAGGCGGTACTTGTCGCCCAGCTTTTCCAATTCCGCAATGGTGCAGTCCGAGAAAGTCGGGATACATTTCGCATAAAGCCTATACCGTCTTAGCTTTGATCCAACTCCTAGGCAGTGTTCCAACTCACAGATCCATCATCGACGTCAGTAGGTCCTGCTTGGCTCGGATGGCGTGGGAAACAAAGTTGGTATCGACCAGCACGTGGTAGGGAGGGCCGAGGGCAGTGTTTGCGGCGAAGAACATGTTCGAGGGGGCTTGGGTAATTTGGCGAGTCAGTTGGTCCTCCTTGGGTGTCTCTTTCTTGGTGGCCGCCTTCTTCAGCCGCTCATCGTGGGCTTTGATGGTGCGCTTCATCTATAGGTCATAGAGATCAGTCCCCGGCTCCTGCTTGCCATCGGGATGTGCATACCTGCGCAAACTTGCGAGTCTTCTTTTGCACACCCATTTTGATAGATTACACCTCAGTCGCTGAGTAGGTTTAAACGGGGTAAGTCCGCGGAATAAGGGATAGCTATCACGTTGACTCGATATCGTTGTCCCAGAAGATTTTGGAGATGCGGAAAATCAGATTGCGGGCCGATGTTTCGCCGGATAGCAGAAGCCAAGCCGTTCCGCTGTCATGTGATCTCTCTGTGACCGCCGTCAGTCTAACTGAAAATGGTAGTTGCCTTTATCAGGCTGGAACCGAGTGGCAGGGTCTGGCCCGCTTGAAAGACAATCAATCCACAGGCGCCGAGCAGCATCATCCCAGCAGTAGCATTCATCTGGTTTCAGCAGAATGACATCTCACCGAGTCTGAGTGCCACAATGTCATTGTGAGTGTGATGAAGCTAGAAGTCCAGAGGGTTGGTATCATTGTACAGGTAACCCCATCCGGTGCACTGTGACAATAATTTCCGTGCGTTCAATCTATCCGGGTTAGCATGGTTCAAATGCCTACGACACTTCCTTATCACATCGGAAAGTGGCAATCCCATCACCGTCCGAGCTCCTCGACCACCCCGCAATGTCTTACTCCCGGGGCCTCCCACTAGTCCTAAAGGATGGCCGTCACAGCGCTGCTTGTTGGTCACATCACATTGCATCCACCGTCCGATGCATTTGTGGAAGGATATTTCGGTCCACATCATTTTGTGAATTCAACAGTGAAGCCATAGGTGCTGATTGCAATCAGCAAATCCTCGCTATGTCTGAGCAGTGTGTCTAGCAACTGTAGTCTCACAATCACAGTGACCGTTCATCTCATTCCTGTCAGTCAGATAAAATCGCCGAAGCTGGTACAACCATCCAGAGGCGCTCCGAAAGGCATAGTGGTTGAAAGGCTTATTATGTCTCATTTTATGAGTCAATACTCCGTAGTGTCTTCGCTTTCTCAGTCCGGTAGTTTTACTAGTATACGGTGAGCTACGGTATGGGTACGCATGGTTGCGAGGTTGTCCCTCCTTTCCCCGAAGCCAAGGTCGTTTGCTCCTTGCGGTACGCTATAAATAAGAATTGTAAATGTGCTGAGCACAGACGCAGTGTCTTGTGCGCGTGCTGGAGCTGGCATCATTCCATCCTTCCCCTCCCCGAGGTACCTATCAGGTACCCAGGTCGCCCCCGTATACGGCGCCCCGAGGGGTGTGATTCGAAGTTTCCCGGCACATCACCGTGGATGAGCCACAATCCTGCTGACCGCACTGGTCTGCGGTTGAGGGGATCGTTGGGACTTTGCCAGTGAGAGAGCGTATTTACGCGCCGGGCAGGTCACTTGAGAGCGAGCAACAGACGGGCGCGAGCGATGATTGGCGCAGCCGAGTGATGAGGCCTGCAGCGTGAAGAAACGCCCTCTGCAGTCGGGACACCAATCACGGGCGGGGAGCCGGCGGGAAAGTCCCTGGCAGCCGCTGGCCATGCAGAAGAAACTCCAGCCCCGCCTGGCAACGGACGCATGTAATGGCCATGTCTACCTACTACTACTGTGTATGGAGTAGCAGTCCTCTTCCCATCCATGCCAATCAGGCCAATTCTTCCCGCCATTCGACTCGTGCAACCATTGGTGCTCATCGCTTCTCCCTCATTTTAGTTCCAAACTCTTTCCTCGCCAAAGCCGGCGCCTCATCCCCCCTGGTGGCCTATCCTATACATGATGCTACCTAGCTAGCCCACCTCCGGCGTAGCACGGTAATGGTGAACCCATCTCGCAACGCCCCTGGTCAGACGCGGGAGGATCGACTGGCAGTCTGCTTTGCACGCCGCTTTCCTTGTCCCGTTGCTGCATGCTTGTTGGTGTGCCGCTGCTGGAGCCACCGACAGCTCCTCATGCCGGTGGACGGGTCCTATCTGCCCTCGTCCGCTAATTAAGTCATCGAACGCCTTTTTCATCCTATCTCGACGGCATCCTGGCTCACTGGCTCATCGAAGCGCCGTCCACTCCCCTTGGCGCTAGCTCTCGTGAATTGATGGCTGGAGATTTCGATCGACTGTCGCTGCCTTCGGCGACGTCTCAGATTTCATAGGCACTCTGGACACGACCACCCAACGGAGGGAGAGGCTGGCGCCATTGTGGGATTAATAAGAATCAACAGACCAGAGCACGACTGTCAACCTATTCTCGGAAACCATTTTCGTTTTTGGCGTAAATCCTGCAACCGTCTGCCTTTCTCCCTCCCCTCCCCGCCTTCACCCTGGGCTTCTTTTTATCTCTCCCCCTCCACAATTCTTGCCAGCAACGTGGTAGCCTGCGTAGTGCGCTGTCTTCCCTGTCGTTCCACTGCATCATTCTTTGTCTTTCACTTGCATCCTTGTGCGTCTGCCTTCTTGTTCGGTTGCAATCTAGCGCACTATCATTATTATTCCGCCCGCCGTATCCTGCTATATTCTTGTCTTTCCTCGCCACCCAACCACCCCGACACTGCTAGAAGGATCGCTTTCCTGGACGCTTAAAAGGTTGTCTACAACCCGTCTAGCTGCTGTGGCGTTAGGTTTTGAGTCAGATGTCTTTTGAGAGTGCATCCAAGTGTGTCATCTCTACTTGGTAGGCACCTGGAGCAGTGACGTGTTGGCCGTGCTGGCGGGACTACACTGGGTTGCTCAGATTGTCTTCTCTCGTTGTACGTGCCAATGGGAAAATTCTCTTGAGGATTGTTCATCTTGGCCGCACCGAGTCTATTGCCTGTTGTCAAGCCATACTGCCAATCCTGCAACCGTTTGAAGCGACTTGTCGCTAATTGTGCCCACGACACGCATCTCTGGAGGAGTGCTCCACGACAAGATAGGAACCAGGAGGAAAGTAGTTCCAACAGTTTGCTGCGCGATCTCTCAGTCGTGCGGCCAGAAGGATGGTTGAAATACCATGGAACAGAAACCCGGCTCCAGACTCCCGACCTTCGAGAATGAAGCCCGTGGCGCCTCCTATACCGCCGCCGCCGCCACTACCGCCAGCTTCCAATGCTCCGCTTGAGCCATGTGCCTCGACTGCATCGTTGTTTCTCTATGCTCAGGGTTCGGTGATTGTATGCCTTCATCATGATACCCTGGCGCTCGAGCGACGTTTCGAAAACCACCAGGACGACATCAGGTTTATCTATGTGGATAACGTGAGTGAGCGGGGAGCAGGAAGACTGGTGGTCAGCTACGATGCCAGCCAGACAGCAATCGTATGGGATCTGTTCACTGGCAGCGTGCTTGCCAGGTTTGCATCCTTTGAGCAGCTCAAGGTTGCCGCCTGGATGCGGAACGGAAATGTCGTCTTTGGTAAAGCTCCCTCCCTCTTAAGTAAGGCGCAAGCTGACTCCAATAAAGGCAATGAAAAGGGAGATGTCATTATATTCGAACCCTCCACCTCCGAACATATCTCTTGTCGCACGATTTTTGATCCCATCACGGCTCTAGCTCCTGCCACGGACTGTCGGACATACGCTATCGGGTATGTATACCTGGTTGGAGTATAAAACCCGAGGCCTAACGGTTGGCTTAGATACCAGAATGGTTCCATTATGCTCGCAACACTTCACCCAACCTTTAGTATCTTACATACTATGACCACTTCGCGAGGACCCTCGGCGATCATATCACTAGCATGGCATGCATCATCATCTAAGCAAAAGTCCGATATGCTGGCCACTCTGTCGGCCAATGGTGATTTGAGAGTATGGAGCGTGTCAAAGCCCCCCGGAAAAGAGACCCCACGGGTGATACGAGTCCTCAAGCGGACTGACGGCTCTCCTGCATCTGAGCCAAAGTGGATGGCGTGGTCCAAGAACGGGAGGATTGTGCAGTTCCTTGAAGGGCAAGTTGGGTCATGACCATTGCTCTTGAATTGAGAAGCTGACATATCGATAGGGAAACGTGGGCTTGGGACGTCCGGACAAAGCACGTTACATACGAGCCGATCCCCACGATAGACAATCCTCGTGGCTTCGCCAACTATGGGCCAACTGCCACACTCTTCACCCTTGGACCCCAATACACCGTTCAGCAATATGATGTAGATAGCCCCGCGATGGTTGCAAATGTCCAGCACGTCCCAGCCGGGACTTTGCCAGCATCCACAGAACAGCCGAAGCTCCGCACCTTGCAGGATCCCCCCACCATGAGGGAATCGGGTGCCGTGGTCAACGCCCGAAGAACGCCGTTCGACACGAATGGAATTGAAGCCGTCCGGCAACAGCGCGTCGACGTCGGTAGCCCTGTTCCGAGGAGCCACGCCAATTCCGTTACCAATTCTGTTAGCTCCAAGGCATCATCAGGGTATCGGATGCCATTTTCGCCACCCAGTAGGTCCGGTCAGACGACCACATCCTTTTCGTTGACCTCGGCATCTGGGAGAGAAACCCCACAAGCGTCTGGGGCTTCCTACGCCTATGCCTCATCGGTTTCGATGTCGTCCACCAAAAGCTCCCGCGCCGGTTCACGGCTGAGGAATGAAGTGCAGCTGAGTCCGACCGATCAGCCAGCTGACCTATTTCCGTTTACGCGCGCACGCTTGAACGATGTACCTTACGGACACCACCAGCCTCTCGATGAGTCTTGTCTTACTCCAGACGATCTACGGCAGCAGATGCTGAGCGTTGTATTTGGCTTCGACGGGGACATTGATGGATTGATCAGGGATGAGCGTATGTTCAAGCCATCATCGTTACTGATCCTACAATTTTACTGACCATCATCAGTCAGCAATCATCCTCCGGCTAGCCAAAGTGCTATCCTGCTTGCTCAGTGGATAGGTGAATCCGATACAGACAACATGACATCTCTAATCAGCTCGGGGACAGCCTCGATCACTGACTGGATGCTGCTGGCGTTTAGCCAGATGTCCGGGGAATCACAGTCTAACAAGGTTGGCCAGGCTTTGGTCCAGAAGTTGCTGGAAATCGGAGATATACACACCGCAGCCACCATCCTTCTCGGATTGGGGGATAGGAATGACGCCATAGAAGTCTATGTTTCTCAGAACTACTTCATGGAGGCCATCCTGATGACCTGTCTGGTGATGCCTACGGACTGGCAGCGACAATCATATCTGGTTCGCCGATGGGGAGAGCATGTGGTGTCTCACTCTCAGCAACAGCTGGCAATTCGCTGTTTCATGTGTACGGGCGTCGAGCCCTCCGAGCCATGGACGTCTCCCGCCGCCCAGCAGGCCACTTCGTTTGCGGAGGTGATCACAACGCGATCGCCATTGGCATCCCCGGAACCTCCGTATCCGAACCCGGCGAGCCTGATGGTTCCAAGCTCGCAGCCTAAACCGGCTGCTAATGGAAGACCGATGGCAAAGACGCCAGCTCTCAAGCTCATCACTTCGTTTGACTCTCAACAGAGCAATCGGTTCAGATTCCCCGGCTTGAAATCCGATGACAGAACGCCAACCAATGCCCCGGGAGTGACGCCCATCGCAGAATCCGCCGTGATCGAATCTGCTCTGTCTCCGGGTGGGCTTGGATCATACAAGCTGAACAACATTCAGAGCATCAACAATGCGATGAACGGACGCACAAATACCCCTGCGTTTAACAGAAGACGTCTTCCATCGATCGGGGAGACACCGATTGACGTCCATCCTCCTACATTCCCCTCGACGGGTTACAGCAAGCCAGTCGTGGACTATGGGTCGACGTCGGAAAATGACGAAAGCCAGCCTCAAGAACAAGACGGGAATGAAGCGGACGACGACGAACAGCTCGGGTTGCTGTCCTCGGCACGCTATGAGCCCGACGAGTACAAACCAAGCCCCCAGACCGCGGTTCAGGCGACTGCGGACAAGTTTGCCACCATCAAAGGTCTTCCCTCTCCAGCCGCCGGGGTCTTTGAGGCTCTCATGGAACGTTCGGACAGCCGAAATGGCACTCGAGACCGAAAGCCAGATGGCTTGCAGCTGAACCTTGATCACGGCAACTCTTCTCAGACCGACTTGCAGGTTCAGTCCGACATGGCAGCCAGCTTCCGGAGCCCAGCATCAACGCTAAATAGCTTTAGTTCCGCAAGGAGCCCCAGCGTGAGCGGTCGCAGTATCGACCCGTATATCAGTAGCCTAAGCGAAGCGAACTACCACGCAAAGAAGTACCAAGGCCATCGTACTAACGGCCGCGGAAGGCGGAATACGGATGACTCGGTCAGTCAGACCTCTACTCGGCGGTATCACTCCCGGAATACATCCCAAGAGACGCGCGGACGACACGAAAGGAGGTATATCCCGCCCGCCAAGCGCTCACCCTCGTCACCGGTCCCCATGTCCCCGGAGGAGCTGGCTCGAATCAACGCCAATGCCAACAAACCCTCATCTCGAACACGGAGCGCGAGCAGAGTTCGCAAACCACGCTCTCGGAACTCCTCTGAGCGTCGTCAAAACCGTTCGGCCAGCCGAAACACGGCGAATCAGGTCGGTGCCGACAAGAGCGGTCCTGTCACCCGAGGACGCAGCATGGACCGACAAGGGTCGAGTGCCCGGTCACCTTCGTCTCCGTTGCCTGTTTCCAATGCCGATGATGCGTTGAGGCTCGTCACGAGTGATCGTGAACGGCTGCGGACCCGCCAGCGGAGCGGCAGTCGTCGTCCGGACAAGGGGAAGGGGGAGACTTATTCGGAGTCGAAGTGGACCAGAGCGCGATCTCGTAGTCGTCAGGATCCTGAATCACGAGCAGGCGCGGAAGATGCAGCGGAGGTTGCCATCACCAGCAACGTCCAGGATGATAGTTACCTGACTGGCCACAGCGGTGCCAGGAACATGACGGCAGAAGTCTCTCGTGATGTGCCCGCTGCTACCCCCCAGCTTAGTCTTGCTGAGCAGAAGAGAAAGGAGCTTGCCGCAGCCGAGCTTGAAGCACGGCGCCTTTCGCTTGCGCGGAACCCATCAGCGCCGAACATCCCATTCCCCGGCGAGCTGCAGCCCAGTCGCACTCCGCTGGAGAGCCCACCATTTTCGGTCCATGCTTTTGCGCCGCGGACTCCTGGTCGAAACCGGGCTGCTACCAACACAACCAAGGGCTCGCCAGAATACCCGAGCAGCTCCGACTCCAACTCGTCGAGGTCTGGTGTGCCGCTGGGACTGCCTGCGACCCCCAAGGCCATGCGGCATCCGAAATACAACGGCTACGAAGAGACCGCCCCTGTGCCTCCGGTGCCTGACAGCAGCACACTCCTCAGTGATGCCAAGTACCAAGGTGAGGCGGAGCGGATCGGCCGTTCCATGTCGGTCCCAGTCCCAGAGACCCATCAGTCTGGGGCGGTGCCCACCGATCTCCCAATGCATCCAAGATTCAATCCCCGTCTGCCCAGGAGTCGGTCCACCAGTCGCACGCGGGGTATGGGCCGGCCGGACAGTGGTGGATATAGCTATGGCGGCTCTCCGGTGACTGTGAGCATCGAGGAGACCATTGAAAATGCCATGGGGATGCAGGTTGACCCTCCCATCCTGCCGGAGCTCCAACATCTGAACCCACCGCCACCACCCCCTCCTCCGGCCGCTCCTTTGGCCTCTCCCCGTGAGTCTTCGGGGACGATTGACATTGCCATTGACAATGAGGATCTGGGACGATTGCTTCCTCGTGCAATGACGGCTGCGCCGGCTTTTAACATGGATGGTCGCCCGGGGCTGGAGCAGCGCCGGATGTCGTTCGAGCACCGACGGGGACGCAGCGTCAACGAGAGCCTGAGCAGTAAAATCCGCAATCTGGCTCGGATAGGCAGCACCAAGAGCACCGACTCGTGGGTTGCTTCGGATATCCCACTACCGTATGAGAGTGTGATCATCGACGGCCGCATATAGCATTGAGTTACGATTGACGATATGTTTTCCCTGATTCGTTTCTTTCTTTTCTTTCTTTTTCTTTCTTTTCCTCTCATTGAGCACAGCACCTGTGTTGATAGTTGACTGGATACCCTGGCAACACTGATAATGATGGACGTGCAAGGATCATACCAGAGCGATGCACAATAATGGCCTTTTCTTTCGTATCTAAATATGGCCTCGGCGAAAAGTCGTTCCTTGAGTTGATAGCAGCTCTGCAGTACTTAGTGATTAATCGAGTCAGTGCCTGCACTTGTACCTGATACTAGGGACACATTCAAGCGGTTGCTTCAAGCTAAGCAGTGTAATGGGCTTGCTTTCGTGACTGTTAATACAGGTAGGATATCGCTAAACACAAGAGGGGAGGACGTAGAATGACAAGACAACAGCACCAATCCGATCATATACCTCATTCAGTCCCATTTCCCCCACCAATGCCCGTTCTTCTGCTGCGAGCCCTGGAACGCATCCGTCGACATCTTCCGTTCCTGGTCCAGCATGCGATCAAACTCGGCCTGTGCCTGATCGCGCTCGCCGTGGTTCCCGGTCACTGGGACGGGCTGCGAGCTGGACTGGCCTGGCCGAGCAGCTGCATTCTGGCGCTGCTGGGGCTGCTGAGACACGCCCATTCGACTCTGTCTTCGGATCCGAGCCCACGTACTCTCCCCGGGTAGTCTATCCTCCCGATGATCCGGCGCCACGGGGCTCGCATCATCATCGTCCCAGAAGTCGATCCCCTGGTTGTCCTGGGGGACCGGAGCAGGCTGAGGTTCAGCCTCCTTCTGTCGACCCCATGTTGCCGTCCTCGTGCTATACCTCGATTTCTCCTCTGACACTGACCCAGCCTCTGACATCGACCCCAACCCCGACTCCACGCCACTCTCCTGCGCCTGCTCTCCCCCCTCCCTCTCCCCCACCCCCACCGGCCCCGAAAACGACGACACCTTCCCCATCTTCTCCTCCTTGACCCTCTGTAAATCCTCCCAAAACCCCTTCAACCTCTCATCCCCCGCCACAGCCTGATAATTCTTCACCGCACAATACGTCCCGACCGCCCAATCCGCCACCAACATCCACATCGCCATACGAAACACGCCCCCCGCAACCGCTATCGCACACCCCCTCGGATCCACCGACGCATAATGTCTCACCGCCAAGATCAGATCCCTCGGTGACGGCACCCATTTCCCCGCCCTCTTCCCCTGGCCAAAATACGTGTCCCATTCCGGTGTATTCTTCGTCTTGTAATAACACGCGGTGGCTGCCGCTGTGGCGCCGATCGGGATCCCCACGGCTTTGTGGTACAGGAGCCGGGTTGAGGATTCCACGAAGACGTCGGTTTCGGGTTGCGTGAGGCGTCGGTGGATGGCCTTTTCTTGGTGTGAGAGGGTGCGGATGATGGTGTCTTGCGCGATTCGTGCCCAGGGTTGTGGGCCCACGAAGTGTAGCCAGAGGGTTATGGCGTCGGGGCGGACGATTAGTTCGGGGCGGATTTTGTTGGGGTGGAATTGGGCGTAGGGGTCTGTGTTGCCGGTGGTGGTGGTGTCGAAGAAAGGCATGGTGGTGGTGCCTGTCGTGGTGTGTGGTGAGGTGAGGTGAGGTGATGAAGCTGATGGATGTGAACGTCAGGTAGTTAACTACTGTGCTGGGTTGTGCGGATTAGTCAGCGGGGTTGTGCTGGATCTTTGAAGGATAGCGAATCTTGTCTATTAAAGTACTCGTAGTTAGAGCTAGATCGGCTTGACCTGACTAGTGATACGTGTCTGATGTCTGTAACAGTTACCATGACCGGCTCATAGTATAAAAATATGAATAGTGTACGAGTTATGTGTGTACTCAGGGCGTAGTTAGCATCTAGAATCTAGATTGATGAGACTAATATGGTATCTGCTTCGAATAGCTACTATCAAAGGCTATGATATCCTCATCCACGGATCCATACATTATCCTCTGCTATCTCAATTACCAGAAGAATCCCTCCACTCCCAGAATATCACTCATATGTCCCGGTACACAGTCCTCTACTGAATAAGGTATCACCACCTCTCCACATACGGTCTCAAATCCAACTCAAACCCAAACGTCGTACGCGGCTGCGTATGCAAATGCCAGTATGACTCGGCAATCTATCATCATCATCAGTACTCAACACCACCCAACCTTCCCCCCCAAAACTCCAAGAAAGACAAGAGAAAAGGAAACACTTACAGCCCCCGGATCCAACTTGGCATCCTCCTTCTCAAACACCCACCCCTTCGTCCTCGGAATATCAATCACCCCATCAATAATCACATGCGCGACATGAATGCCCTTGGGCCCGAATTCCCTCGCCAGGGACTGCGCCAACGCACGCAGGGCAAACTTCCCCGCCGCGAAGGAGGCAAAGTTCGCCGACCCTTTCAGACTAGCCGTTGCGCCGGTGAAAATGAGAGTCGGTGGGTGTTCGGTTGCTGTAGGATTGAAGAGAGGAAGAACGTGTTGGGCGAAGTTGAATGCTCCTTTTCTGTACCCATCCCCTCTCTATCAGCACTCCTCCCCAAAATCACATTCCCAAAGAAAAAAGATAGGGCATGGGAGGCATACCCCTGACTCTCAAACCCTCCCCCAAACTCCTCCTCAGTAAGTTCCAAAAACGGCTTTCTGACGAACCCACCCCCCGAGTTGAACACCGCCGCGGCGAGCGTCGCACCACTGAATTGGGATTTGATTTGCTCGAAGGCGGATTTCACCCCGGCGCTGTCGGATAAGTCCGTGCTGATGCCGGTGGCTTGGCCGCCTGTGGAGTTGATTTCGTCGACGACACCTTGGTAGTTTGCGGGGTTGCGGGCGAGGACCACGATTGGGTAGGATTTGGCGAAGCGGCGCGCGATGGAGGCGCCCTGTTTTTTTTTTTTTTTTTTGTTAGTTGGGTTTGGTTGGTGGTGAGGGGGAGGGGGGGAGGGATGTACAGTGCCTGGGCCGACGCCGGCGATGATGGCGAAGGGTTTGGTGGCCATTTTGATTCTATATGAGTGGTGGAGAATGAGTTAGGAGAGTTGGGATGTGGAGAGAGGGGTTGAATGAGGGGATGAGGGATCACTTATAGTTGGATAGTCTCATGTCGTCATTTGGGTCGGGCTTCTTGTCATGCCGAGATTAGAAATCAAAGCATCGGTCATCTAATCAACCAGATTATTAGTCAGACTGCTGTTATCAGAGTAGCATGTTCATGTTAATATCGAAGTAGATACAGCTATCTTAGGTATAGCTATTCTCCGGCGTAGTGGTGTTTTGTTTACTTGATCAGGTGGACTGGTGGACCGGTATCTGTATCTGCCCCAGGCATCCAAGCTTATCGATAAGAGCTGATAAGATTTCTCAACCAGCTTTTTTTCTCTCCGCATCTCATCCATCTCATCTCCATCTCCATCTCTTTATCCCTCCATTTCTCTAATGCAACTACTACCCAATACACACCACCATACCCTTCAACATTGGAATCACCGACCATGGCAACCCCCGACTCCCCCCTCTCCGACCTCTGCTCAATCTGGTCCGTTCCCCATTCACCCATCCCCATCCCCATCCCCATCTCCATCTCCAACCCCTAAGAACCACCACTAACAAAGTACAGCCACATCCAACCCCCCAAATACCGCTGTCCCCGATGCAACACCCGCACCTGCTCCCTCCCCTGCACACGCCGCCACAAACTCTGGTCCCAATGTTCCGGCATCCGCGACCCAGCCGCCTACCTCCGACGCAACGAACTCGCCACCGAAGCTGCCTTCGATCGGGACTTTAACTTCATCACGGGGATTGAGCGCTCGATTGAGCGCGCGGGTCGGGACGCTGAGAATCGAGGGATTGGGGTGGGGGAGGGGTCGGGGTATGTGAGGGATTTGGCGGTCGTGGGGTTGGAGGGGGAAATTCAGGGTGATAATGGGGGGAAGAGGAAGAGGGGGCAAGATGGTGGTGGAACAAAAGGGGAAATTGGGTTTTTGAGACGGGTGGAAAAGGCGGGGGTCAAGGTGGTTAGGGCGCCCAAGGGGATGAGTCGGAGTAAGAGTAATGCGTCGAGGTGGTTGGTTAAGTATGTTTTTTTTCTCCCTTCTGTGGTTTGCGTTGGGGTGGGATGGTAGACTGACTTGTCTAGGAATCAGTGTTTGGTGTGGACGGTCGAGTGGATCATGGGCAATGAAAAGAGGTTGAGGAGTTGTCATGAGACGTCCACGATTGCGGATTCTTATGATCGCATGTTTCCGAGGCCAAAGGAGATTGCAGAGCAAAACCAGACAGAGAAGCCCGAGCAGGAACTCACCGGAGAGGCCTCGGACTCGGCTCAAGATCCAGCTTCTACGGACACTACCCAGCCGACAAATACGCCAGACGTTCAGACCGACACTCAGCCAGAAACAGCAGATGCTACAACTGCCGATACACTACCAGCAACTCCCCACCGCGACGTCTACTTTTACCTCCATCGTCCACGCACCGCTACGAAGCAGCCGGTCCTGATCCCTCTGTCCCCAGAACTGACCATCACGGCTGCCCTATGTGATCACACCGTCCTGGAGTTCCCTACAATCTACGTGCTGCCAGACTCACCTGATGCCCTACATGCCCAGGACTCCAAGTACCTCCTCGAGGAAGACTACCTCCGCACACACCAGTCCGCAGACGACACCAGCGAAGACGCGGCCGAGGACACTCAACTACCCCCCGGTGCTATCGACCTAGGAGGCGTCGACGAGAAAAAGGTGCTGGAAGTACTCCAGAAGGATCTGTTCGAACCTTCGACAGCCCCATAGGCATGGTCTATGACCATAGTCATGACGGGATACATGTACATTTACCTTGTTTATCATGGCGACTGAGCCGGTAGAACCGTGCTCATACTTCCACCTCTAATAATCAAACTCGGAGCATTGTAGGCAGCGAGGCTCGATCGATGCGCATACGTAGCTACTCGAGAATCGACCCGTCGACGGATCGAATCTATGCTTGGTCAATACCACGGTCAATTCACTCAAATCAATCCAAAAATATATACGCTAAATCGACTCCAAATAACTCCAATGGGGTATCACATGAACCTTATGCCAAAAGATACAGGACGCCTTCCGATGCTGTCGGGCATCACCCGTCGTAAGTGGCTAGAAGCCTAAGGCCATCGGCCTGTGTGTATCTGATATATCCGGCAGTGGCTTACTGCCTAGATCAGCGGCTTCGGCCCAGATGTTATCGCTGTTAGCGAGTAGTCGCCTCAAGCCCCTGGTACTATGGCAGCCGTTCAGCAACTCCGCAGCCTCGATTGATCGATGGCGCGATTAGCCGCAAGGAACGGCCTCCCATAGTATACCTCTGCAGTGCAGTCAGGGCGATTCTGAGGCGACATGAGATACACAGCTGCATTGCGTAGTCCGAATGTAATATCCATCATGTCTGCGGGCTCGTAGCATCAGACGCGGTGTCTGGAAGCTCAGGGTCTTCCATCTTCTCGGCACGATCCGAGAAAGACACGATCTCAGTGGCGATCGTGTTCGGCAAGGTTCGCTCATCCTCCTCGACCTTGCCATTGCGAGAGCTGGCTTTGGACTCCGTGGGCGACTGATTTGTCCGCTCGGAGCGGTTCGACTTGAGCCGGATCCGGCCCCGCTCCAATGCTCGTAGGATGGTCCCGACTTCCTCGGAAACAAACCCACGAAGCTTGCTGATCGTGTCATCGGACACGTCCGAGTGCACGTTCCAGCCAAGCTTGTCCGACTCTTCCGAAGTCAAAGACTTGGACTCCAGAGAGGGTCCAGTGACGAGTCGCTTCAAAGTGGTCGGAGACACGGTAGGCCGGCGGGGTATCTTGCCCGGCTTTTCCTTGCTAGAGGTCGCCGAAACAACCTCCTCCTGCTGGCGTTTGGGTGGACGAGGGATGGCCGCATTCGGTCCTTCGCCCACTTCATTTCGAATCTTATAATATACCAACCCCAAAGTAGCAGCCAAGGCCTGGTGTGCAGCCTCGGGGTACAAGCGAACGGCTTCTGCCCGACTCAGATTGGACGGATAGTCACTGGAATCGCTCGAGTCGCTATCGCTGGCAAACAGCGATGGCTCCTGATGCATGCGGCCCCAGTACTCATATCCTCCAAGCTGGTAGAAATCGGCCAGTTGCACCAACCGGTTAACTATATCCGTTAGACGCTTCTTCATCCGGTGCACAGGTTGCACTTACGTCGACTCCGCTTTTTCAAACACCAAAATCGCCACACGGTGCGAGGGAAATATTCGGGCCATTGCAACGATCCGTCATCTTCCACAACCGGAACAGGCGTGATCGGGGCATGTGTCGTATGGGCCAACGAGTTGAAACGGACCCGCTCGGAGTGCTTCATGCGGGCTTCGATGAGAGAGAACCTGTTGAACACTGAAGTCAGATGTCGTGATGTCTCATGTTGCAGAGTGATCAAATCTGTGCGAAGTTGACTAATGGTCGCATGTAGCTTGCTGATCTCCACGCGACATCCGCAGACGTCGGTCTGCAGATGTTCAACATCGGACTGAATCTGGTCGACATTCTTGGACAAGCGGTCGACGTCGCTGCGAAGGAAGACGGTCTCGTTGCCGTTCTGGCCGATGCTAGACTTGAGCTGGGAGATTCCCGACTTCAACTGGTCGAAATCCGTCTTCAGGGCCACCACGTTCAGATCGATACGGTTGGAAACGGTCCGGTTGGCTTCAAATTCACGGCGGATGTGTTCGTCTTCGCGGTTGCGTCGGTCAACGTAGCCATCCTTTGTCAGCACGCTGGAGCGTAGCTCAAGCAAGCGGGAGTCCAAGAAGGTCAAACGGTCGTGGATATGCGAGAGGGTCGGGTCTGTTAGGGCTGAAGGAGTGCTTTCGTGGATGAGGGATAGCCTAGGGCTGGAGACGGGTATAGACATGCTCGACGTGCGAGAGAGACTGCGTTCGAGCGTTGTGGTCATGATGGGCGAAAGGGGGAGACGCGGTAGTACGTTAAATAGGCGTGATGGGCAGACTCAAACACTCGTCAACTGAGTTTAGATCGATATGAGGAGCATTTTGCCCACGGTTTCGAGATGGGTTCGAGATGATTGTGGGGGCTTGCGATGGATTGTGGAGGTTGGAAAGGCGATGGCTGGGCGTTGTGAGAGACGAGCGACCGGGAGAGAGGCAGAAGCGGGTTCCAGGCAAAAGCGGCCCCTCGCGGCCTGCGTTTCTTCGTGGCACCCAACCGGGTGCGCCTGACCTCGGTCGCCTCCGCTTCCCAACAGAACTTGTGGCAGCATGATTCATTATGTTAGGATATGGTATCATGATATCCCGGCTTCAGATCGGTTGTCTCCAAGCTTCATTGATCATGAATTTTTATAGTGTTGATTGACCCATTGGGGATGTTTTGGCGAGAGGCAGAGATGACAATACGTGATACGATCGGTGACAAGACGGTCTCGCAGCAACTCGGCGGCTTGGCAGTCACACTGCATCCAGTGACGCAAGGCAGCCAATCAATTTTTTTAATGGCTATCTCGCCACCCGTGTTGGAGAGGAATCTGGCTTGTTCATTGGAAGACACAAATAACCTCCGGGCAGGCCTCAGCGTCATCCTTTCCAGGTTCGTTTTATATACCGTCTCGGTAAGATTGGATACACGACGAATACAATGAAGGCCTCATCCTTCAGAGATGGAGATGGCGCCTCGTTGACATGGATCAAGCATCGCTGACTCGATTTGAAATCTCTGCGGAGTGTCCGGAACTGTGGTCTGAAAACACGAGAAAGGTTTGCATCAGCGCTATACAACTGCAGCTCCAGTGATCGTGCTTTGGATGACACCCCTCCTCTTGCGAAAGGGCTTCCTTCCATTCATTATGCCCTCCAATGAGTGACGCATCTGAGACGTCCAACCAACAGGTGCTGGGGTGGGCCTTTGTTGGCAGGGTCGCCTTGGACTGCAGCAGTACAGCGTGGCGCGGCCAGCTGTCGTAGGAGTACTCTATATACTCGATCACTCCGTGGTTGTGACTGGACGCAGTGCCAGTCTCGGTCAGCTTCCTCCATACACCAGAGGCAGTGGCTGATACCATTCAAATGAACTGCAGTACATCTGGAAGTACTATGAAACAGTCTCACACGTCGTATCTCAAGCCATGGTTCCGGTCTCTCGATCGCGTGGGCTTCTCAACCACAAGACTGAAGCAGAGGATAAGGGCTAATTGCTCATCATAAGGGCTGTCTAGATACCATCCCTGACTTCAGACGAGTCCCAAGTTCAGACCAGAGACCGACCGTAGCGTAGGCTGTGGCTTGCAAGCACTCACTCGTCCTCGGACTATTTCTAGCATATCTTGACAGCCCAGATGCGTTATGCTTTAGGTGATGGTCCTTGTACTGCAATCCTATGTCTGTTTGCTCTCATTGTCAGCACGAGCGGCCTGTTACATAGCTAGAGATCTAACAGGGTTAATATTCAGACACAAGCCGGGAATCACTGACGTCTATCGGGCTTCTCCATCGATACCATTCCTTAGGACAGGCTTGATCGGTGCACTTCTAAAGAATCACGAGACAGGTATGTCTTCAAGCGACAAGCTGAGGCAAAAAACCACCTTTAAGACCGTGGAATAGTGGTGGTGAGCCTAAAGCCAGCAGTGTAGTAACAAGTGAAGATTGGCCAGACATCGTGAGGCTACACACGTCCGTCCGCAGCCTACTGAACGAACTATATACCAGTCAACAAACACACACAGCGTAAATTCCCCAACCCTCTCACAAAGCTCATAGTTCCATATCCAGAACATTGCCCCTATGTTCCCACCGCCATCTACTGGGCTAGAATTATGCGCGCAAACGGTGGGGTGTCCGAAAGTGATTCTGGGGGGATCCCATCTCCATACAAAGTGGGCCAGTTTGACATCGTCCCCAACAGCTGAGTTTTCTCCTCATATACTGCTACTAAGTGATTTCTAACAGCCATATGAATAACCCAGTGACTTCCTTCAGCCCAAAATGAGCCCAGCGAAGTTCTTGTTGATGGAAGTGACCGCCATGACGCACCTTCCATGTCAACAAATCCATCCACCACCATCAGACATCCACCGTCTTGACAACACCCTCCAGACTCCTCATCGCACCTATTATTCATACTAAATCACTCATCCATATTATCACGATGAAGCTCATACTGCCCTACCTCCTGCCTAGTCTCTCTATCCTAGCCACCCCCGCAACCGCAGGATCTATACCACAACCACAATCACAATCACCCACAACGCAACCCACCAACGACCCCCATTCCCTCTGCGACTGCTACCTCACTACCGGCCAGGAGCAAAGCTACTTCACGCACTACAAATTTTGGGACTTTCGCAAAGTCACACTCCCGCAAACAATTGAGACCACCCAAGCAGACCCCGCCAACCCCCAAAACTCCTACGACCTGCAAACCTACCCTCTCGCCAAATCTCCTTTCAGCCATGACTGGCGTGCCCAGACCTGGGACCGAGATGCAACCCCCATCAGCCCAGTACCTATGGTAAACACAGACCGCAATGTCTTCCTCCTCAAAGACCCAGCCAGCACATCAAACAACTCGCGGTCGTCGTTCCTCGTGCTCCGCACGACCCGATTCGCAGATCACGCCTCCACTGCTGAAGTGGAAGGCCTGTTCGGATACATCTATCATTGTTCGCTTCGGATGCGCCTGCGGATGATGTCGAGGGATGCTATTGTGCAGCAGGCGGCGGTTCCCAGCACCGGCATAGCAGTGAATCCTCCAGCTCAAGCTCAAGCAGTACCTCGAGGAAGCTGTGCTGGGATCTTCACCTATCGATCAGCGGTCTGTGAGTCGGACATCGAGATCCTGACCTCGGAGGATCCACATACCGTTCACTATGCCAATCAGCCGGATTATGATCCTATTTCGGATACATCAATCCCCGGGGCGAGTTCGATAGTTAATCTGTCGACGCCGTGGACGTCGTGGGTGACACATCGCTTAGATTGGCTCCCGAATATGTCCGCGTGGTATGCCGATGACAAGTTGCAGAGTAACAGTACTTACTCGATTCCGGACCGCCCGAGTATCGTGGCCATGAACCTGTGGAGTAACGGGGGCAATTGGTCCGGCGATATGAGGGTCGGGGATAGTGTGTATATGGGCATTGAGTGGATCGAGCTGCTGTATAATGTCACCAAAGCTGATCAGGATCTTCCCATCAAGGACCACCCCGGACACAGAGTTCATTATCGCCGGCCCCTGGACCTGGCTTCAATGGGAGATGGCATCCCAGACAGCTCAGCAGAAGCTCCGCGTGATTATGTCGACCTGCAGACGGCGAAGAAGAGTGGATGCCAAAGACCCTGCCGAGTTGATCAGTGGCATCATGCATGTGGTGCTTTTGAACCTGCCTCCTAGAGTCCGCTCCTAGTTTTACGCCTGCAATCATAGTCAAATTTTGTTACCTTGGGAACTCATTGTAGATGGTAGATGGTCGTATTGTTCTATAGTGTGAACCAGTGTCTCAGCGTCTGTCCGAGTCCTCTATTTGGAATTATCTTCTACTGCCTTACAATTGGACTCCAGCAATGTAGTACATGTAATGATGTATTGTTACTCGCGCATGCCTCGATACAAAACGTCTGGCTCAGTCGGCCCTGTACACACGAATAGAGGCAGCAGTAAATACATGCGTGATGCCAATGATCCATCACAACTCCCTGCTTCCCAATCCCATCACCATGCTCAATCCAAAAACAATCCGTAAACATGCATGTCAGGAGCTGTAGCTCGACTGACGGGGTATCCATACATGACAATGCTCAACGCTGACAAGTTCACTCATAGAAATGCAAGCCATGCCCCTGGCCCCTGGCCATCTTTCCCATGCCCTCTCGTGGCCTGTACTCCCAACCCAAACCCAGTCCGCAGAAACGACACCAAGGCGCAAAGCGCAAACAGCAAACACACACAGAGAAGCACAAACGCCCGGACAGGATGTGGATTTTTCTTTTCTTTTTGTCTCCCCGCTCTTTTTGTGGTTTTCCCCCTCTTTTTTTTTTTTTTTT